GTAATCTACTTCCTCTCTGATTTCACTTGTTGCATCCCCTAGAAAGGGCTTGGTCCCACTGATAATCACTCCCAGTGTAGGTCACAGTAAAAATTAACATTGGAAAACTTTAGAAGTCCTTCCTTCATCTGCCAAATTTTGCACTACACAAATCATTGGAGTGGGTTGGGGAGAAGTGGAGGGAATGAGTAAGCCAAGTAATGGGCACTGGGGGAGTTGGCCTCCCCGTATTCTCACTTATTGCTAAAGGCTGACATTTTCTACTGGTCTAGAACTCCTGGGAAAGCAAAGGTGGCCGTCACATCAGATAGGAATCTTCTAGGAAAAGAAATGTAGCTTCCTACAAAAACGAGGCTAAGATATATTATTCACTGACATGTGTGTGATTATTCATCCTTGTACAAAAAAGAATGGCACAAGTTGGTTGGGATGGTCCCATGTTGGATTCAGGAATCTGTAGAGTCTAGTGTTTGAGTGGGGGATAGGTAATAGCTGAGTGGAAATCGGTCCCTTCAACCTCCCTATCCCCATCTCTGTCAACCTCTATCCAAATTTAATTTGACAAATATTTATCAGGATCCCACAATGAACATGGCCTTTGCTAGGTGGTAAGGATAGAAAGAGAAAAACAAAACCATCCCTGCCTCAAGAGCAAAGTATGTCTTTGTGCCAAATATATGCCCATATACACATCGCTTTAAACAATCTACATTTTGCTCTATTTGTATGCATGTGACCAGAAGCTCAAGGTGTAGGGGAAAGAGAACCAGTACCAGAACCAGAAAGATTTGGGTTCAGATTTTGTCTCTGATACATTATGTGACCCAGGGCAAGTCATTTCATTTTTTAGTGCCTCAAACTGCCCACAAAGACTCTAAATTGCAAAGGGTATCCTCATCAAGGGACCCCTACAACAAGAAAATTACAAGCCAAGTGCAAAAAACGTGTAAAATATGTGAGTATATTATATACATCCTGGAAAGCCTGGCTTACCCAGAATACTCTAGGAAATTCAGTCTTCTGGTTAACCAGAAAACTTTCTTTTCAACTTTTATTGAAAAATCTTGCTGAAATGTGTTACTCACTTTCCTCTGGTACTTTCTTCCGGAGGTAAATACAGGGCAGTGAACTTCTCAGGTCTCTCTTTGATGGTTGAGGGTCCTGTCATGTCTTCAGGAGGATATCCTGAGCTCCTGAGAATCAGAGAATTTCAGGGGTGGAAGGAACCTAGAGATCCAGTCACTACATCTCTCCTGAGCTCCAGTCCTACATTTCCAAATACTTTTTGAACATTGAAACTGAACGTGCCATCAGCATCTCAAACCTAACATGTCTAAAACAGAACTCAATGTCTTCTTCCTCCCCCCAAACTTTCTTTCCAACTTCCCAATTACTTCTGAGGCCACTACAATCCTCTCACAACTTTAGTGTCACTCCCACTGGGTCCACAAATATAAAGTGGTGTCAAGTGTTGTGGTTTCTACCTTCACGACATTTCTAGTTTATGTCCTCTTTTCTTCACTCAAATGGTTGCCACCCTGGCTCAGACCCTTATCACCTCATGTCTGGACTATTCAATAATTTTCTAATTAGTCTTTACATATATGTAAATACATATATATACATATACATTCCAATCATATATAGACACCCTGCCCCCTCTCTCTTTCTCTTCTTTCTCTACTTCTATGAATATCTTGACATACATATATAGATACAAAAGTGTATTTGTATATTTACATATGCATAAACACAGATTTTATATATCATATACATACACTAAAATATTCATAGCAGACTTTTTTTTACTATAGCAAAAAAACAGTAAACGATGTAGTGGCCCGTTGATTGGGAAATAGAACAAATTGTGGTCTATGAGTGTAATTTAATATTATTAAGCCAGAAAAAAAAAACAATGAAGATGAGAGATCCAGAGAAACTTGGGAAGACTTTCACAAACTAAGGGAGAGTGAATTAGGAAGAACCAGAAGGATGATATCCGTGGAGGGGCTGGCTCTGCGCTCACTCCCTCTAGAATCATGGGCAAGTCAGTGAATTTACATCTCAGCTTGAGTTTCTTCATATGCAAAATGAGGGGATTTCCAATTCTAAATCTAGTAGCCTGTAATGTAAACGGATAACGCACTGAAAGGGAACCAATTCTGGTTAGTTATAATCAACAAAGGAGGGGACTGGCGGATGAGCCCAGTCCTTCCTTATGAGCCTACGTGTAGCACTTAGCCATTGCAGTGCCCACATAACTTCGGAGCATGTGCGGACATTCCGTATCTGGTTCCAGCCTGCTAGCCATCTGAACAGGATCCTTACTGCTGGGCTGCATAGCTGCCACTGGAGGGCATTCAGAACCCAGAACCTCTCCCTACTCTTGGGGAGACTTCTTCCTGCCTGGAGATGTTCTGGTGAGAGAAGAGAGACAATGCAGGAAGGGGAGAGGACTCAGGTCCTCCCTATCAGAGGCCAACAACTGACCCATAAATACAAACCTGAGTTCTTTGCCTGACATTTGTTCTTTAGTTTTGGGGTGAAGGAGATTGGAGGCTACAACCTTATGAGTTTCAGAAAGTCAGAAGAGTGAGCCACCTGAAGGCCTGAGAGTGGAGTCAGAGCCAACATTTGCAGGAAGCTGTTTTAGTGTTGATGCCCGGAGGAGTGAGGAGAGACCTCAGGGACCCAGCCTAGCAGTAGCTGATGCAAGGATTCAGCCAGCATCCTCATTTAGACTTTGCCTTAGTGGGATCAATGCTATATAAAAACTGTGTTCTCTCCTCAGAGACAAAGCATGGGGAGAGTGTGTGGGGTGACAGGACGACTGGCACCTCTGGTGTGAGGGCTTGCTGAGCCCTTTTCAGGGCTGCTCATCCACTTTTGGTATCTATCTGGCACTCATCTCTCACTTGTGACTCCAAGAAGCTGTAGCATGAACAATGGCCACACCCTGGCAAAACTGTGTCAGCAGATGGGCTAAACCAGGTTGAGGGTAACCAACAGGCCATAAACTCATCAGTGAGTTAGGGGCATGTTTACCCCAAGGATGTGAAGACTTCCCCCAGCAGAATGGGAGAATGAGAACAATTTGTTCCAATGGCCATGAAGGCAGTTGAAACAGGTGCTATGGAGAGCTCAGAGCTTGGTCAGACATCACTGCATCCTCGGCTATTGCCAGTTGTCTTGACTTTTGTCCTGCCACTAGACTTCCATGACTCTGGAAGAGAGAGTGAGGCTGATGACTTTGTGCAGTTCTGCCTCATTTAAATCCAATTCATGCACGAATCAAGACATCACCCCATGATGTCATTGGTCCTCTTGGGAAATGAAGGACAAACAACAACATGGAGAGAATATGGTCCTAAGGTGTTGTTCTCCCTATGTCTTTTCAGTAAATATCCCTTTGTAACAGCTAATTCAGGTTAGTTGGTCAAATGGAACTGGAACACTGGTCAATGACAGTAAGAGGAACACACTTGAAATGGGGCTCAGACTGATGGCATCAGAGAAGAGACCTCCCCAACCTCTCAAGCACACTCCTAGAACCCTGAAGGAGAAATAGTTGTATTCTGTTGCACTTACCACCTGAAGGAATACAAAATCTGCAAAATCTACAAAATCTCAAAGTGGAGTAAAGCCCTGTTTGCCCCACTCTGGTTATATCACCACCCTTTTCTTACCTGGATGATTCCTCATGAGCTTTGTAGGAAGCAGTGGGCATACCCTTCTGTATCAAAAGTCTGAGACAGGAAAGAATAGGATGTCTTTAGGAAATACGGAAAGAGGTAGGATCTATGGTAAATGGGAACCTTGGGCTATTCTAACACCCCCCCAACACACATCACACACACACACTCACACAAATACACACACACACACATAATGATCGTACCAAGCAGGGATTAAAACTGTGACATGTGAAGAGTATTTCAGATGTTAATACTTTCCCCCAAATCATCTCTGATAAGAGAAGCTGAGATTTGAGAAATCATTAACCTGAAAAGAAAACTACATAATCCACGTGGAATTGTTGATTGCAATTATCACTACTGGGAATGTTTTTCACAAACTTTGCTCTTGTTAGAATAAATAATTAAAATCTAAGATGCAGATCTTTTATTTTTTTTAAAAAAAAAAGGTAGTTAGGATCTTTGGACTTTCCTTGAGAGGTTTTGGACATCTACTAAATTTTTATATTTCCAGGCTTTTGTTGCACAGGTTAAAGAAGCATGATGTCATCTGGCTAAACTACGGAGCCCCATCCCCTTTTCCGAACATGTTTCTCATAAAAACAATGATAGGGCTATCTCCTATGATTATTGAGACTATTTATGAGCTCTTTATCATGGCCAGACATCCTTCTTCATTGTTCCTTTGTCAGTCTTCACAATTCCCCTCTGGTGAAGGTCAGAAGCCAGGTCTATGTAAATCTGTCAACTCCATCCACTACTTAGAGTCTTACAGGGTTGTTGAATTAAGTTATTCACTCACAGTAACTCATTTCATCATGGTTAGAGGCAGAATTTGAACCCCAAACCCCAAATGGGTCACGAAGAGTCAGACATGACTTAAATGACTGACCTTCTTGGTTTTAAAGCCAACATGCTAGTCAATACACCTGCCTGCCATGCTACCTCTCATCTAGCTGTAGGCGTGAAAATAAGATCTGTGTTATGCCCCAGATACTGGATCTCCCTAGGAAGCAGAAAGGATCAAAGCCCCTCCCCTCACACTAAACCCCCAGAATCACAAGGATGGATAGAGGAAATCTTCCTTTAGGGGTAAAATCTCTGGAAGAGACTGAATTCCTGTATTCTCCCACCCATCAGTATCTATATTTAAGCAGGGGATAACCCAGACTCAATTCCCTGATCTGTGAAATGAAAGGATTTGGAGTAGATCAGGGCTTCCCATCTACCAGGACCCCAGCAAATGCTTAATCTGCCCGAAAAAATGGAGCTGCGAAAAGCCTTTGCTTTTTAAGAGTGGCCAGATGAGAACATTAGCTCAGCCCCTACAGTAAATGGCAAAGAAGCCAGGTCCATCATTAGGCCAAGCTGTCTGCGGGAATCAGGACATAACTGAATGTAAGTAAGAGCAGGAGCAACCACATTCACGTTTTTGGCACTGCTGTCTGGTTATCAGAACTTGATTGGCTAAGTGGCCTGATTCCATAGCAAGCAATTCGGGAGGCAGGAGGGAGTTCAGGATCAAATCTGATTTTCATTTGGACTGGAGGAGACTGGAGAAGCCAGAGGACCCTTCAGACTCTCATTAATTATATGCAGGGGCATGTGGGGTGTTCGGGGAGGACTAGCACTTCTGGTGTGAGGGCTGCTGAGCCCTTTTCAGAGCCCCTCACCCGCCTCTGGCGTCCTCCTGCCACCAGCTCTCCCCTGTGGCTCCAAGATGTAGCATGCACAGCGGCCACACCCCGGGAAAACTGTCTGTGTAGACAGGCTAAAACAGGTTAATGGCAACCCTCAGGCCTCAAATCCCTTGGTGAGTTAAGGGGATGTCTGCCCCAAGCACATGAGGACGTCCCCCAGCAGAATGGGCAGATGAGAAGAGTTTGTTCCAACGGCCAAGAGGCGCTGCGGAGCACTTAGAGCTTTGTCAGGCATCAAAGACACCAAGGTCATCCACTGCGTCCTGGGCCAGAGACAGTTGTCTTGGCTTCTGTCTTGCCACTGGTCTTTGATAAAATGAGAGCAAAACGGATGAGTGTAATTTCTGAACTTCTACATTTGGCCACCAGGTGGTGGTGCAGCCCTGGAAATGCTTCTTCAGCCCCATAGAGCCACTGCCCCCTGCTGTTGGCCAGTTCCCTTGATTGAAAAGTAACAAAGAAAACTCAACTTCCTCAGTGCTGCTGAAAAAAAAAAAAAAAATTAAAAGCATAAAAAGTCAAAGCTGCTCATCTCTGTGGTCTCTACACACAACCAATTCTTCACTTGCTTCTGTTGAAAAGGGAAAAAATTATTTTCTCCCCTACAGCTCAGTCCAGGAATCTTGAGCCACAAAAATACTACCGTCTCTGACACTACCTATATGACCTTGTTTAAGTCACATCCTCTTTTGACCTCAGTTTCCTCATATGAAAAATAAGAGGAGGGGACTACATGCCCTCTGAAGTGCCTTACAGTCCTAAATCTTGGCACAGGGAACATATCTCATCACATTCAATGGAAGAGTGGATGGACATGTAGCCCACATAAGTTCAGGGGATCCTGAGAAAGTCAACATGTCCCTTTTAGGGTTCTAGGGGTACCTATGAGGAGCTGAAGGGCAGTTCACTGATGCTTTTGGCTTGAGCCCACACCAGTATACTTCTCAACCCAATATTATGAGTTAAAAATTGATTTAGTCAGTCAGTCTTAAGTAGCTTGAAACCTCTTTCAGCCCTGGGTCTTCATTCACAGGGCTCAATTGAACTCAATAAGCATTTACTATGCACCAACTATGTACAAAGCATTGTGCTAAGTGCTAGGGTTAGGAAGACAAAACTAAGATCATCTCTGCCATCAAGGAGCTTACATTCTATGGGGTGGGGGGAGGATACATTTTGATACAACAAATAGCTTTTGGAGTTTTGTGGGATGGGCTTGCCCTGTGTGATCCTCAGTTTCCTAGAAAATACGTGCAATGAGGGAGTATAGCCAAGTGGCCTTCAAAGATCCCACTAGCTCCAGGAGTCCCTATCTCCTCCATTCAGTGAACAACAAAACCGGTCCTGATCCACCGGTTTCACTACGCCATCCCCTCTTGCACCAACTCCCAGGACTGTTTCCAATCATTTCAATCTTCCCATGACTCCCTCCAGGAATATATTCCTCTGATACCTAATCATGGCCCCTGGATTCTTGAAAACAAGGGCAGTAGAGCCCAAGTGACTAGTCCTTTCAGAATCACAGAGTCTTGAAGTTGGAAGGGACTTAATTGATTCTTGAGCCCAAGCTGTATACGAACAACCATCCCTCTACAAAATCGAAGACCTCCAGTGATGGGGAAGTGGCCACCTCTGGAGAAGCCCAGTATGTTTTTAGACTCTTATTGTCAGGAAACAGTTCCTTACATGGAGCCTAAATATGCCTCTTTTCCATTATCCACCATTGCAAAAACAAAAACAAAAACAAAAACTCACAAAGGATTGCAGTCCACGCCATGTTGCACTTTATTTTTGGACGCTGATTGACGTACTTTTTTACTCCAACTGTCTGAGCGTGTTCCAGACTACACTTACCCTCTCTGAAGACTGCATTTGAATCCCAGTTTCATTGTGTGCCTGACAAAGAACCCAACGGCTCCATGCATGACACCATCGCCTACATTGGGGCTGTAACAGAAAACTGCAGCACTGTCACGGCTCCATGGGAAAGCTCACTGCCTGGAAATGTTCCTGAGGGCTGGGAGATGAGAAGGCGGAGGGCAGGTGAATTAGGAGGAGATGTGGGTTACACAGAACAAAATTGTATAACCCAAAGCAAGAAAAATCTTTTTTGTACTTTTCCACATCCAGAACTGTGAGGGTCTAACAAATGACAAAGTAGTCAAGACATGCCATGTGGGCATGAGCTTGACTCTCATACCAGCCCAAGACAGTTTAAGGAGTTTGAGGGGATAAGAACCAGACCTGTGATTTCATTGATATAGGGAACTCCCAGATGAGGAAGTTCCATCCTTCAATGATCAGAACCTTTTCTGAAACTTATAGTCTTAGGAGAGTTACTTACCTGCAGGATGGATCACAGCAAGTAAGTGTCACAGGCAAGACTTGAACCCAGGGTTTCCTAATTCCAAAGCCAGCTCAATTCATTCCACCATGGCTACAGCGATTAGAGAAGAAGAGAAAGAGTTGATCTCAATTTTAGTATCATTTCACAACAGAGCTGGGGATGGGAAACCTAAGCCTTAGTTTTTGATGGTGGGGTAGAAAGGCCCCTGGATTGGAGTCCAGAGGACCCGAGTTCAAATATCAGCTCTGCCGTTGGCTCCCTGTTCGACCTTAGTCAGCTCCCTTCCCTTCTCTGGGGGTCAGGATGCTCCTCTGTGAAAGGAGAGGGTCAGACTGGACAAGCTCTGGGGTCCCTTCCATTTCCAGAGCTCTGATTTGATGGTGTCTACGGTCTTTTTCATCTCCAAATCTATTCTCTCTGCTGGAACACAGGCAGTGAAACCAACAGAGCCAACTCAGAGGATCAGAGCTCTGGGAGCAATCTCAGAGGTCATCAAAGCCAACCCTCCCTAAGATCGTTCATTGCTGTGCCTGAGGCTGCTGTGTCTCAGAACTGCTTGATTGCATTTGGGAGTGGAGTTGGTAGAGAAAAACAGAGTTATCTTACCTGTCCCCACCCTCCACTAACAGTCCAGAAGACATCTCTCCACTGACCAACCCCAAAGGCTGGCAACAAGTCCTCATTTGAGAAGGTAGCCCTCACATGCATCAGCCCTGGGCTCACTTGGATTAGTGGGCTTTGTGCATGGCATATTGGATGATAAGTGCACTTGGTTTGGCTTGAGCCCCTATCCTAGCTCAACTCAGACCTTCCAAGGTCATCTAAACTCAGATCGCACCAGGATAAGAGACCAGACAAAGAATAGGCATTGAAAAATTAGAACATTCAACTGGAACTAAAACAATTAACAAAGGCATAGAAAACACCTTCAGCACACGCTGCAGAGACTCAGACAAGTCATGGAAGAACCTTTCTCCTCTGATATGTGAAGGGCTGATGTCTGTTCTGTGGCTGAAACAAAGTAGAGAAGCTCTCCTTGTGTCTTATGTGCTCAGAACTGAGTCCCTCCCTACAGCAGCTCTCTCTCTCTCTCTCTCTCTCTCTCTCTCTCTCTCTCTCTCTCT